AGGGAAATAACATCCTGCAGTGACAGTGAGGCGGCATATGTTATCTGTGCATCCACAGGTACATTTAAGAAGGATTTACATTGGTTTTTATGCTGCCTGGAGGGGTTTCTCCTTTAAATCCCATCATTTTTTATTTTGTTGAATCTCTGTTTCCTCATGTGGACACAGTACAGCAGCTAACCAACTGTCAAATGTGGACAGGCAGATAATAAAAAATGAGATTCAGACACTAATGAGATTTTCACCTATTAGTGCCATCATGACCTCATAATGTCACGGCTCTGCTGTCGGTTGATCTGTTCGAAGGAGAGAAAGGTTGTGTGGCAGCCTTGTGTCTTGTATTCCACAGGTACAGACTGGGTGCTGTATATTCATTGCATGTGTGAAAGCATCATTTGTCCCTCAGCTCAGGCCTGTGTCCTTGAGGAGCTCAGTGAAGACTCATTTCCTCCTGGTTTAATGTGCGTGTGGTCGTAGAAATGGCTGTGATGGACATATTATCTCTCCACATTCCTGGTTCGGTCTCTGTGGAAACAAATGGTTGGCATCAGCTGATAGAGTTCCTACAAGCGAGTCACCCCTCCTCCTCTCTCTCCACACTGGAAAACTGTCTTTGTCATCCAGATAACTGAATAATGGGTCATTTCAGCCAGAACTATGATTGATATAATTAGTGGATTCATGCCCAGTTGGGCTTCAGCCTTTTTTGGTTTCCCTTGTATTATTCTGTCTTGATGATAATATTCCTAAGGTTGGGCAGGCATTATTCATTATTTATTTTGTGTTACCTCTCACTTCCACACTTTGTTCTGCTGCTAATGATGAGGATTTTCAGATCCTTTTGTGAATTAGTTTTGTTGGAGCAATTAAAGAATTCGATTCCTCAGCGCATCGCAACATATGTGAGCACACAGAAAGCAGTGACCGGAGTTGGCTGATGATTTTGTCTCGGCTCGCAGAGGCAGTTTTGGGGATGTGTGTTCTGGCCGCGATGTGAAAGGTAGGGAGAGTAGCTATGGTAACCCTTGTTGTAGTGCACAGTTTACAAGGCCTGGGCCCTCACATGCTTTTAAACCCTCTCATAGTAAAGATGATGGGGGCAGGAAGCGTAATTATTGTCAAGGCACTTGCCATCGGAAGGATCCTGGTCCGGGTACTGTTTTGAGGTCTAAAAATAAACAGAAATCTTTCTCACCTAATCCTGCCCCGGTTTGTTCCAGTATTCACATACTCTCCACTGGCATATCATGATCTTACTGACATTCACGCTCTCCCTCTTTGTCCTGGCTGTAAAAACCAGGCAGCTAGGGTTCAGGGTTAGGGTTGAAACCCAAAGCTCGTTTCAATTATATCATTGGTATTGATCATTCTTGTGGCAGAATAAATTGAGAATCAAGCAGCAACTCATTATCAATTATCAAAATTAGTAATATATTGTTTTAAAACCAAAGATTCACAACATACTGATTAGGTAGAGTTAACATGTTCTCACCCTGAGACATAGCAAGTTCATTGCAGTTTTATAAATAATTTTTGTGTGTGTGTGTGTGTGTGTGGTTTTGCTCAACTGCAAGTCAACTGACCCAAATTTCTGACATGCCAGAAATCCACTGGAAATAAACAGATGTTGTGATCCCTCTCAGACTCAATGTCAAATGACAGCTGAATCCCATGAAAAGAGCAAAACCGAAACTTACCTGACCCAACTAACAAATACTTCTGATATATCTTGTTCTTTTGCGCCTTGGTTGTTGACAAAAAACTCTGAAAAACACATAATTGAAAACCCAATGTCACGCTGGGAGACATGTTGCTTCTGGTGTAGTTATACTAATTAGCACACAAAATGTCTAAAAAATCTGCAGCTGAAAATAGTTCCTATAACAAATGATCACCATTTTCTCCTGTGCCCATGACCTGTTTTAAAGGCTGACCTATTTTCTCATTCAGCTTCTTATTATTATACTTTATGTTGGTGATGTGTTCCTGTTGGAACACACACATTTCTGCCACAGTTGGAGTTATTTTTACTTGATTAATATTAAGGATATTTCACATGAGAGAAAGAAGGTGGTGTCAGGAAGAAAGAAAGAAAGAAAGAAAGACACAAAAAAATAAAGACTTTCTTTTATGTCTTGAGTGAATGGGCTTAGGGCCACAGACAGGATGAGAGAACAGAGGCCAGCCTTTAATCTACACCAGTGACTACACAAGCTAAAGTTTAGGGGCCATGTCTTGGAATTTGTTGACCACATCTCTGTGTTGCTCTCAAAACTTTCGTGCCATATAGAAATGATCAACAGTGTTTCCTGGAGCATCTGAATACTGAGTGGTCTCAGGACTGTCCCCATCTGGATCAGACCAAACACATGCTGCTCTGCAATTTGGCTTCATGCGTGGCTTTAATCACACTGCTGCAGCTGTCCAGCTATAGCAGAGGAGGTATGAGCTGAGTGTTGAAGCTTTAAAAGAAAAAAAAAAAAAAAAGGTCAACTACATAATACTGGCTGAAAAACATTCAACAGAGAAAAACCCACACTCTCACTTTAAATATTTATTCTAATCATTATTGGTAGAGGATTTAAGTTTTTCAAAATGTATCTTTTCAAAGTTTTGACTTTGAAAATTTCTGGTCCATCAAGAAGCTGAAAGTGATTTGACATGTTTTCCAGACTATCACCTGCTTGCTCAGTATCAGCTCCATCCTGGTGCCCAATGTTTGATTTTTTTTTTTTTTTTTTGCCAGTTTAAGAACTTCCCACTTTTGTCTTTTCTGTCATTTTCTGCATTGTCAAAGTTCATTAAATTAAAAATATATATACCAGTGTGGCACCATTACTTAGGTGTGAAAATCTTAAAATATCATTATCTAGATTTGTATCGTTCACTGACAGTAACACAAATTTGAGAAACCAGGCCACCCCCCTTTATTGAACTACTTGCTCAAATAGAGGCGTATTTATATTCCAGTCATGCCTCACCATACTGGTGCAACAGAACTGTTATAATATGATCACAGATTTGAAAGAATTTCTCTCTCACTCACAGAGGGTTGCCCAGTAGCATCAGGAAACAGCTGGGCCAGGCTGACGCTGGTTTTCTCTGACATCCTCTCTCCATCTCATCTCTCCATTAACTGATCAGAAATGTTGTCCACACTGGAGGCCCACACCTCTCCTATACAGCACATTCTATAAGGCACTTTGAGTGGACCCTATTCTTTAGGGGTTGCAACAGTGATGTCGAGAGTGTCGAGAATGTTTTGACTTATGCTTTTAAATTCTACAGCACTTTATCTTTTTTATGACCACGCTGCCTGGTTGGTTTGGCTGACCGTCCATTAGTACCATTAGGCTATGACATCGCTGATATTGCGTGACTCCTGCTGCCATGATAGGTTACGCAATATTATATAATCTTTTAATGCCTGAATGTGAAAGCTGAAAGAAAGTGACAGCAAACTTTTATAATTTGGAGAAAATGTTAAAACATATTGGAAACCCACTGTGTAAACAACATCCTTCCGCATTATCAGTGAGTTTTGCAATATTTTTCATTTATAATATACTTTTTTATAATATGCTAGTTCACTTTCCTGCAGAGCAAGAACATTTCCTGCACCTTTTCTATATTGTAATTAAAGATTGCTTTGTAGTGCGTTACAGTAACTCAGCTAGGTAAGTACATTTACTCAGCTATAAGTGGCTAACTTGAACATTTCCATTTTGCTTATAAACCTACTTCACTACATATCCAGGGGAACTACTGTGCTTTTACCTCCAGTAGATTTATTTGACAGCTATTGTTACTAATTACTCTGCTATAGTAACATAACAGTATGTAAAGTAGTTAGAATTAGCTCCACCTCAACTACAACAACTATCTAAAGCTACTCACAAATTAATACATCATTTTGATATTTTAAGTACATTTTGCTAATAACACTCTTGGGTTCTTTGACCCATGTAGAGTTCTGAATGGGACTTTTACTCCTTATGCAGTATTTTTTCATTGTGGTATTGCAACTTTTACTTAAGTAATGTATCTGAATACTACTTCTCCCGCTGCAGTAGCTACAGTACTTTTCATAATCTGTGTAAAAAGGAAAAAATCAGCAGCTTATATGTCATCCTTTGTTGACGGGCGTCACTTCTCTCCACCTGTTTGCTCGGCTGTGCACTGATTTGCTTTCACACCTGACTTTTTAAACACGTCAACACCCCGAACTGACTGGCACCATCTTCGAAATCTTGTTGTCTCATCTCCGTCGCATTACAACATCCATTATTTCCTACAGACACTGGTGTTAACTTGTTTCATATCCTGACAGTTTGATGTACTGGTTTTCTTCTGTGGCATTTACATTGTTTAAAGAAACCGCCCAAGCAGTAGTATCACAGTCTGAGTCACTTTTGTAAATAATATCTGATACTGTGACATTTCTGTCTTCTGTCTGCTACTGCAAAATCTTGATTAAGCAGAGCACAACCTGACCTGTCACATCTTTGACCTACTCTTGTACTGTAGGTGTGCTGCTAAAGCCTTGGACCTTTTATCCACAATAGGCGGGCAAGAGAGAGAAGGAATAGAATCTTATTCATACAGAATGATGTCAATATGGACCATGCATTATTTATGAATTCAAGCTCAAATAATCAATTTCTCTGGCCAACCCAGCCATATAAGTATACCCCTGGGCACTGGTGTCATCAACTCTTTTAAAAGGAAAGAGGCTAATCTGGTCTGCTGCAGACGTATGTGCAGTTAGGAAGGGACACTAACAATAGCACCAGTCGGAACGAGAAGTGCCACTGTGTCGCTAAGCATCTTCAACTTCATATGCTCCCACTGTTTCATCATTGGAGAAAGTAACCCCATTTATCACTAGTTTTATTTTAGATATTAAATGTCGAGGGGTCAAAGTCGATAAAACTTGAAACAAGTTACTGTAAAACAGAGACACATGAACAAAACATAACTGTGCCCCAGATTTTAGCATTTTTAACTTTATATTTGCATGCACAAAAAAATATTATATCCAATATAATATAATATCCAATTTTTATTTCTCCTTAAACAAGAGACTGCACTTGTTTTCTCAGTTATGAAACATGATCCTTCAGTAGGATATACATATTATGTAACATCACCCACAGCATCATTTCCCACTGTAACATCTACAGTATATTGTATTAATGAAGTGCAAATGAAAACTAATCTGGTGAACTCCTCTTACTAAATTGGCTTGTCTTTCTAAGAATCATCTACGAAGCAAATACACTATAGACAACCTGAGACATGGGTATATCATGGGAGCAATAATCAAGGGAACCGACAGTTTCTCATAATACCGAAACCACAGCACAGCTATCACCGTGATGAAAATCGGAGAACTCTATACACTCTCTGTGTGCTGAAGTGGATGATCTTGAAGATGATCCGGAGCTCCTGCATGGACTTCAAGGACCTCTGCACCACCAATCCGTTCTGCAAAAGAACACTCATATCAGACTCATACAAAGACAGTCATTTTACATTTGCTACAGGTCCGTCTGTTCTATTCAGAAAAAAGCTGAAATGAAAGCAGATTATGTAAAGAGCCTCTGAATGCCCGTTCCTTCTTGTAGCTTGTTGTCTATTATTGGTGGCCACCTGATAGACGTGCATAGACATAATGTGCAGAAAGACATTGACAACAGAGGTAACATATCATCTATGTACACTTTTATCCATGAATATACAATACAGAGAACTACTGTAGAGAGAGACTCTATACCATAATGCTTTGTCATTATTGTGAAAAGCTGAATTGATATATATTATATACTACACTACCAAAAACATACAATTCATTTTTTCATAATCTTTTTTTTCCTTTAAGTATCTGCTTTAAATATCATATTAATCCACGGCCTTTCTGCTGAAGAACAATTCAAAGACACCCATGTAATGAAGGACAAACCAAGATAAATCCACCGAAGGAAAAAAACGAACGAAACTACAATTAGTGCTTTACAGTTGTCTGCCCGCCAAATGCCTGTTTTGTGAGGTCACAGTGACCTTGACCTTTAAGGGAAAAAAACTGGTCTGGTGCATTAATAAATAACAAACACAGAATGGAAAAAGTAGCACACCAGTTAGTTACCTGGTTTGTCGTCACTGAAAGTTCGGTTCATTCTGTATGAGCTGCGGAGGTGAATAAAAATGTTGAACATGTTAAGCTGGAAAAATTTCTGAACAGAAAAAAAGGAGATGAAAATTTGAGAAATCAACCTGACCACGTTCTCCGTGGTTTCCTCCACCCCTGGTCGAACGATGGACCGTGCACTGACGGGGATGCACCAGGATGAAAAGCCTGGAGCTGCTGGAACTTGTGCTGACGATGGCCAGAGAGGTCAACACCATCCAGGGCTTGCTTAATCATCCCCATCACCAGGTCTTTCTCTGAGGGTACACCACATTACATAACACCATATCATCAGCAGTGCTTTTTTTCCACCACAGCAATTACACGCTTTCAGTGGTCAACTGAAAGTGATTAACTGATGCAATTAAAAAGCAATTTATGGACTAATTAAACCTATCTAAAAACTAAAATGGGAACTGTAAATACTAAAGCAGCAAATGAATGACTTGTGTAATGAAATGTGATAGGAAGATACAACAGCAAAATTAAAACCGTTGTATTCAGCAAGTAAACTGAAGATTGCATTAATTGTTCATCACTCTAAAAAGTAAGAACTGAAAAAGAATTAATGACTGGCACAGATAACGATCAGCTTTATAAGCAATAGCAGCAGGATTGAAATGTACATTTAATCAACTACATTGTTTTCAAAGGCTTTCCTTAATTAAATGATTGTAATTAACCAATAGAAAGTTTTTAATTCTTCCATTGGCACATTCCAGACTATACAGAGCACAGCTATGTCTCCTTCTCAGAGACATAACTAAGTCAAATCTGAAAACACAGATATGATACACATATATATTTTTATTCGGTGTGACTTACACTTTCAAAGGATATCATTATTCTGATGGAAATTGCAACTAAACATCCTTAAATCTGCTTAGAAATCACAGGAAAAAGACGATTCTTAGAAGTCCAGACCTTGGCTGAGAATCGTCATGTTTTTAAGTTTTCTTCAGTATCAAAGTAATCCAGTGACAGTTCTCTTTACGCCCATGGGTACATGGCAAACAAGAATTGATAATAGCTAATTTGGCATACTTTTAATGGTGCTAACTTGCCAAAGTGTAAAAAAAAAAAATAGGCTAAAGAAATGCGGCTCAAGACTATATGGTCTACGATTATATGTAATGTACCTCCTGTTTACATCCTCCACCAAATAGAAGTAAAAGGGTAATAACAGTAACAAAATCCAAATATTACCTTGATTCATGATGAATAAATATCTATGAATATTTACTAATTACTGAATACCATCGAAATTTTCTAATCTAATGAAAGCATTTCTTCTGCATTATGGGAAATGTAGTATTCACTGTTTTTGGCACTTGATGGAGTTTGATATATTCTACTAACACATTATTTAAGACAGTTTTAAGAAATGTATCACATCTCTGAAAAAAAAATACAGTTTATGTCAAATTTATTGTGCTGGTTGAAGTGACTGCATCATCATAGACACTGCCAGTTTTCTTCCCACCTTATGAATATATTATTTTTATGCATGTAATAACAAGAATAATGTCTCAAAATGAATCTATGTTAACGATTTAGCATGTAACACCTCTCAATCCATGTGGAATGCAGCATTTTACCTCTTTGGCCTGCGAGCAGAAGCCACTGTTGGACTGCAGACAGGGAATCAGTCTGCAGGATCTGACACAGTAGCTCCAACACCTGACAAGAGAGCAGTCGACCATTACAACATTAGCTTGCATATCACATAAATTAATAATCTCCTTATTAGTCAATTTCTCAAGAGGCCTGGTGACTGAGCTGAGCTGGGGAGTATTTTGCAACAGCAAAGCAAAAGCTGTTCTCTGGAGAATTTCTATTATGTTGGAAATCTTCTTCAGATCTGCCGCTACCCCTTCATCTCTGGAATGCAATATTACATGGCTGTAAGTTACACTTTTTTTTACAAACTGTGAAGGAGCTTAAGACCAGCGGAGGAGTATTTCACCATGAGTTCTTGATCATGGAAGGGCTGAGGATAAATGAGGCGCTGGGAATGGGATCTGCGCTGGTAAGACGTGGAGGATGGAGGGATGATTCTCCCTGTTTCAGCTGAATATTGGGTCTTCCGACGGACAAGTTCTTCCTCTGGTTGGTCCTGGAAGACATTGACACAATCATACTCTTCAGTAGAAAAACCATAGAAACTGAACTTGAAAATATGTCCCAGTATAACCATTTAAAAAAAGTTAGGAAATGAGGAACCATATGGCATTAATGCACAAAACACAGCCACACAAGCTCTGTGAAGGTATAGTCAGGCACATTGGTGCTTTGAGCTAAATCTTGAGATCTTGTTAACATGTTTACAACATGCAGATTCTTAGAAAGAATAAGATTTGCCATTCCCACAAGTTAGTTCTTCAGTTCATGCTTTAGCAATGGTTTTGAGGAAGCATAGGTAAGCCCACACATAATTTTTACTCTCAATCATGCCTCACTAGCCCTGACCACGACCCTGATGATATCGAACCAGAACATAAAGCATTTGATTGGTTGAGCTTGTTGTTGGTTTCTGCTCAACCTGGGAAGAAGTGTTACCATTGAGAATCAATTCAAGGCAAAAAACAAACAAACAAAAAAATGTCATCTTGGAATGGCAGGGTTTTTGTTTATCATTTGTCCAACACTGCTATACTGTCAATGTGTCATTATCGGGCACTGAAAAGCCATAATCCAAAGGGTTATTGGTCACAGTGCATCGGTATGTCACACCAACTTTGGTCCCAAAAGATGCTACATATTGTTAAAAATTCAGTTTCAGCCAAGCTCTTTTGATAACATGTAATATAAAACAGTAGCTGTGGGTGAAGTGAACTGTGCCATTAAGTAACCCTGGACAGATTCAAGATTTCAGCAATTACAGCAAAACATGCACCTCTTTTTTGTCCTTTTGTGCTTGAGAAGACAAACTGATTTTTGCAGCAAATTCTTTAAGTTCATCCCTCCAGGCCTCTGAAAATAGTGCTGTGAAGTAAATAGATAAAAAGAAAAAATCACTCTCATTATTCTGAAGCTGAAAGGGATTCTTTGAAAGCAAAGCTTTAGAAAAGTAATGAGAAGCATGCGTGCATGTAAACATACCTGATTTGTTTTTGCAACTACTGACTCCATTGAGATTCTGAGCAAGCGGAAAAGCAAAAGATGGGTGAGCTGCTTTCCTCAGGCCGTGGCTCTTGAGAAGCGGATGAGGAAACAATGATGAGGTGACAAACCAATCATCTCTCACCATGCAAACGGGTCTGCCATTGAGTCCTGTGGAAACAACAGTATTCACAGTTCACGCACACATGAAGTCAAGTGCTCAGATGCATGAGACAATCAAACGAATGCCCTGAAGAGATGAAGCCAGTAAAATCCCTGCTGAGACTAAAGGTGACAATTTCTTGAGAACCTCAGGGATGAAATCTACTTTTCTGCCAATAATGCAGTCATCCCTTTCATGTACCATCTTGCTATTCCAGGTGCCCATACAGCTGCTCATGAAATATTTCATATGTATGTACTAACTCATCTCAGGAAGGGCTGCTTCCACACCAACAACCAGAAGTATCCTGTTAATGGCCTAATTTTTTAAAGCACAGCTGCTATGAGACTTTAAGCTAAATGAATGCATTAGATGTAGCTCTGACAAGTTATCTCCTGCACTCAGATTTAATGAGTGCATAAACAGATAATTGTTATTCAGTGTATCACGATTAGACATTTTGTTATTATCTGAAAAAACTGAGGTAGTGAGGGTCTGCACGTGGAGGTGGTAACAATTTTCTGATTGCAACAGAAATCCATGACAGAGGAATAATATTACTTCGGTGAGGCAGAACAAGCTGTAAACACAAAATTATCACCTTAACATATTAATATACACAGGGCAACATATGCATTTTAGCTCTGTTTTGGTTTGCACTAACTCCTGAGAGACATAGCTGTTATTTTTGCAGCTTTCTTCACCAGCTGCGAATCTTTGTCTGTCTGCCATTTGGTTCAGGGCAGGGAGCGAATAGCGGCTTTATCAGAGGTTTGGATTGCAATTAAATTTTGTTCAGACATTCATGGTATCTAGAGGGTGAATTCTAATGACTTTGCTGATCCTGTGACTTTCCCTCTAGTGTCAGCAGTTTGATATGAATTTTTTTATAAATGTCCATGACATCCACAGGATGATTCCACCTGGGTTTTTCCTCTTGTGCCACTAGTGAATTATCTTATCATCTACTCAATGGATTGGAAAAACAGCCATTCATGGTTTCCTGGTGATGTATCCTAACACCTTTAGTGATCTCATTACATCACGTAATCGGCAGGTTGATATTTTTGGTTGACACTAAAATATCAAATGACAAATATTGGATGGATTGCTGTGAAATGTGGTACAGGCATTCATGGTCACCAGAAGATGAATTGTAATAATTTTGATTCTCCTGTTCTTTCATCTGGTGTCACCATATGGTCAACTTTTCAATCTGTCCAGTATTTTTGGTTTATGATGATATATTTGCTAAAATGATGGAATTCCAATCAGCCTCAGCTTTACTTCGTGTTTATTGGAATTAAGTTGTCAAAAGCTCATAGTGCCACTGTGACAATGTGCAGCCTCACAGAGGCTGGAGGATCTTGGTGTTGTTTCCCTGAAAACAGCTGAGAACAATGAGACTGAACCGACACAGTAAAGCTACAGGCTGTAAAACAAAAACCCAATGAGACAGACAGATGCTAAAAATGCTCTGTAAAGCTGAGGGGAACTGACCAGTCTGGTGGAAATTCTTTGTGGGATTAGTGCAGCTTTATTAAGAAGAGCTTCTAAATGGATTTACAATACTAGTAATAGTCAGAGTCAGAAAAAGTACTCTCCCTTCCTCTTTTAACCATGTTCCACATAATAAATCAGTAATAAATAATAAATATGCTGGCATTTGGTGAATACGAATGATGTCTGCAATATAGGGAAGCATATGGTAAGACTTGATTCAACTTTTAATCAATTTGATGTAAAAAATAAATACATAAATAAATAATCAGGGGGTTATCCCTGCCCACTCACCTTGAATATGCCTCACCCTGTGTGGATGAGGGTTGTGCCGGGAGAAGAATGAGTGATGACTCAAAGAACCAAAACGTGGACTGCTCTTCGTCAGCATCTTGGTAAATTCAGGGGTCAATGGCACCTGAGTAGTTTGACTTTGACTCCTCTTCCCTGTTGCTCCCCAGGAGTCCGGACTTTGAACTATCGACATATCTCTGATTGAAAGCTGGAGGTTTTATTTAAATCTAAAGGAGTGAGAGAACAATCAAAAAGTAAAGTTCCTCCATGAAGTGATGCGTTAGAAATACAGAACGTTTAATATTTAAGGCTCTTATGCACATGCTAAAAATCATTTGAAAACTAAAACCTAGCAGGAGACAAGACAGAGACACTCAAACTTGATTCCCCCCAAGAATTTAAAGTTTGAATTTCAAATTTGACCAAAATGTATGTTTAGTGTTCTACCAGGGCAAAGAATTGAAACTATTTAAATATGGAGAAATATAATTCTGAAGAACCACTTTACCTCCGAAAGCAGCCTGCAGCCTCAAAACCTCTGGTACTTAATGCTCTGTGTTGCTTGTGTTGCTAAGAAACCTGAACTAAACAAAAAACAATGGCATCTGTGCCCGAGTGACTGGCATTCTGAACCAGTTCATTTAGACAGGGTTATCAAATGCAAAGCAGCTGGGATTTAACTATTTTGTGATGTTTAATTAAAGAACTGCTGAAGAGCACAAAATGAGGTTGATGGAACTAAGAATGTCAACATGAACATTTATGAGTGAGGAGCCTCACACCACATTGGCTATTAGTTTACCGGTTTGCTGCAGTATCTAATGTGGCATATGGATGTGTGTGCTGTTTTATCCTTTCAAAACTAATTATAATATAAAATATGACTTTAGGTTTCATGGATATTCATGGGAACCTATAATCAAAATTTGAAAACCACATAGGGATCTCTTCAAAATATGATATTCTTCAGGACTATCAGGATTGGTGGCAGAAAATTATCCATTAAGAAAGTGGCCAAAAACTGACAGGGGAAATATGATAAAACAACATCCACAACTCCATCTGACAGTTCATTTAGATAAGCTCCACTCAACAGAGATAATGAGGAGCAAATGCATTCAAAAGAAGATCATTATCATTCATCAAGAAAAATTATTTGTGACACACACAGCACATGTTTAAACTTCAGTAGAAGTTTATGCTTGCCCTATGACATTACCAGAATTTCAGTAGAGTCAGTACCTATCTATCTATCTATCTATCTATCTATCTATCTATCTATCTATCTATCTATCTATCTATCTATCTATCTACACAGTAATAAAGATTGAACTAACAAGGCTTTTGAAAGCGAATTAAGCATTATTAGTGTTTAAACCGAAAGCTGGACTGAAGGTTAACAAGAATAATACATGGCAACAAGCCACAACAATGGACTGAAGGACGTTTTTATAAATGTCAGAAACAATGCTTGAATCAAACTCAATACATGAAAACATGGGGCGGGAACGCCACATCCGTGATCTGCCTCAGCCTGATCTGCCCGGATATTTCCTCAGTATTACTTCTAATGTCACCTATACCCCTGTGGTTCATCAGGAATACAACCAGACTACTGGTGGAACATTGCTGTTCATTCCCAGACTCATTTTATGATTTATTTAATTATATAACTCAAACAGCAGGTAATTATTAAAAACTACAACAAAATGAGCAAAGGTTACACAAACTGCACAGGAGGCGATTAGCTTTGCTTGGCTTGGTGCCAAAAAGTACCCATGTAAAAAAAAAAGCAACAATTTGTGATTTTAGGGAAGGCTGTAACTGTTCCTTGGACCTTTTTGCTGCCTTCAAATGGAACTTGTGAGCTCGTGGTTATGACATGAGAAGTTGTGTACATGCGCTTGGTGTTCAAGTGGCTAAGTCGTGAGAACACCGCTACTAGGCAACGGCGACATGGACACCGAACAACTCCTCATGTTTTCTTGTTATTTTTGCTTCTTTCCAAGAAACGCTGATGTACTTTGTATTTCAACATCATGCAGAAGAACAAGAAATGAGACAACAAAGGTAATGAGTATCTACTCAATGTAGCTACTGTTACTGCTCACTCACAATAAACACTAGCTGATCAAACATAATTTGATTTGGAACAATGATGCATCAGCTCCTGAAAATGAAGTATGCAGGGAGATATACATTTAACAAACTTTACCCCATTTAAAGGCAGCATTTGTCATTCCTGAGAAATGTATGATGACTACTGTGACCTGTGGCTCCTTAGTCACATTGCACTCAAAAATCTATCTTTTGAGTTTTGTTATTGAAGGTGAAGAGTGGCAGTAATCACTGTGAACTCAAACAGTTGTCGACAGCCAACCAACACTGGTATTGCGATAGGTTTTTAATTGGTTCAAAAGTCACACAAATCAACAAGCCTTTCACTTTAAACCAAAGCAGTGCTACTTGCCAATAAGAAAGCCAAAGTCCGTGTGATGTACTCTCCAAAAAAGCATTCATTCATTCATGAGGTAAGAAGACTCACAGACTGTACATTAAGCTGATTGGTAGCTTTTTTTTACATTATAGCCTGAAACCCCCTAAAATATGTCTTTGGATACAGGTTTTCCAGGATACTGAAGCATTCAAAACCCACATCATTTCTGCAGTTCTGACTGGAACTCCATTTGGCTTTGACAGAATTGGCAGAAAACATTACGCATTAAGGAAGTGGGTCACGTCTTTGAAATGCTTTTCTCCGAATCAAAATCAAAATTACACAGTAGGGTCCTCATTGTACACATGTGCAGTGTTCTGTGGTTGATGTGTTTTTTTGCTCGGCCCCCGGAAAACCTCTTACAACTATACATTTTGTTGTTCTAATATATGTCCTTCATTTCCTCTGAGGTGGTAAAATCAGTGACCTCGGATTTAGTGTAAGAAAACAATAAGTGTAAGAAAAAAAGGTCAATATAAAATACGGTCTCCATTGGAGAAACTGGACTAAATAACAAATATTTCTACTTACTTTTATTGGTCAAAATAACAGGCACCCTGCTGTGATCTAAATATAGGCTATAATATAAAAACATCACAATTTTTAAATATTTATTTATTTATTTATCTATTTTTGTTCGTTTGTTTTTTTAATCAGGTGAATTTCCCTATAAATCTGGGAACTTATTTTCCATTTAGAATGATAATGTCCTTGCAGCTAAAACTAAGACAGAAAGCAAAAATCTTGTTGAAAGAAAAAGAGAGAACCGACAGTTTGGTCTTATTTTTTTTTAGTATACAAAATCAAAGCATTAATTTCTGTAGGCAGTTACTTTTGGATATTTGGGCACAGACAACAATATAGAAACATCCAGTAACAGATATGAACCAATTATACAGTTCATACAGTTTAAGTAATAGTACAGTTAAAAATAATGGAAAAAACAAATGTTTTCTGTCCTTGTTGTGCATCTTTTCTAAATGCAACTGTCCCATCTGTACTTGTCTCTTTTCTGCTCCCAAATTAGCTCATAGTTCCTTTTTTGCCTCGATAAGCTGTAAGGTCATTGACGTCAGTGTCTGATACATTATCATCATTGTGTGTCTGCTGCAGTACAACAGTTATAAACAGAAGCATTCCTCCTATTGCTCAAAAACAGAAGTATTGAATAAACATTGATATTAGACATTAGCCAGATTTAAAAATAAATAAATAAAAAGCTACTGTACTGATCTAATCACATGAAGCAAGCCACATGATTGTTCCTGTTTTGGCTCCCTAGTCGTAATACAAAAAAATAAAATAAATAAAAAATATAGAATTACCGCTTCACAGTTGTATGCCTCCGCCACTGAGACTAGTTTCAGGTAACATCCCTGCTTATCCAGAGTCATATAAAATATTAACCATTTGTGTAAAAATTTTGTTATAATTGCTGAAAGAGGATTGTGAATTCTTGACTAAAAATACAAATCAACCACAAATGATTAATGTTTTCCAACTCTTGACTTGTTTTTCAGCTCTATGTACAAGGTTTTTCAAATCCAAACATGAGATTCTTTAATGCAGCTCCCCTTCAGCGATAATTCTTCTTCCCTCGCAGCTTGGATGTTTATAACTCAGTGAAATGCGCATAATTTCAAGGCAATATTTGACTTCGACTTTTCCTTTGAAAATGGTGACTAGGATGTTGCAATCGTGCTTCTCTCATTTAAGAGTAAACTTTCAACGAAGTCCAGGAAAAGAGAACACATTACTCCCGTTCTAACATCCCTTGACTGGCAACCTGTGAGTTAAATATTGATTTTACCAATAACATTTAAGGCACATCACTCTCGCCCTACATACCCTTTAAGCCGCTGCACAGCCCAAGATCCTCAGACAGACAGTTCTTTGGTTTGTCCAAATAGAATGAAAAGCCTTTTCAGTCCCACATTTCACAATGAAAAACATCTGTAAATCATTTCCTAAATGGACTTTTATTGGACTGAACTTGACCAAGTCACTTTTTTGGTATTTGTCATTTTATCAGGTAAGTATATAAAGAAACGACAAATACATGTTTTCTACCTCCTATTTTTATTGTTTCACTACTTTTTAATCACTTTTCTTGTAAATTATTTATCATTTATAACTTTAAAAAAAAAAAAAGTTCTATGAAATATAAAGTTATATCATAATTGTCAGCTTCCTGGAGATGCCTGTATAGTTAGTTGAATTTTTCACCATCACAAAATCCCAGCACAACAAAACAACTAAAAAAGTGATATTTTTATGCATTGCACATGTCAGCCAGGAATCAATACAAAACAAACAACAAGATAAAGTGCAGGATAAAGCAGCTTTCTAGACATTTGGTGAGGCTCAAGTTTTTCTGCATGCAGTGGCAGTTATAGCTCTTAATATTCGATTAATTTAGCAATTTAAACAGCACATATTTTTAACTTGTGACCTCCAACAGCTTATTGGCATCTAAAAATGAATGCATCAGTCCTTACCCATCTGAATCAAATGTGCACTGTGAAAGACAGGCCTTGTTATGTCTGCTGTGGTGAACAGAGCACATAAAACTGGTGCCTCCTCTCACCTTTTCTCTTCGTTTGTATTCATGTATTCAGCCCAGGTGAACAATATTTCCATTTACTTAACTGTTGGGTTGAATAAAGAGAGGTTGCTCTGCTGTACCTTCAGTTCAGATTATTACTGTAAAGCTCATTCAGTTCCAAAATACATACAGCTCTGGGACTTTTCTATCAGCCTTTTCCTGTGTGTGTTTTTTTTTTTTTTTATGCCACTTTTATGTTACCTGCATTTCCTGAGCTGCTCAGTACATCAAATTTATCAGGAAGAAACTATTTCTAGATTAAGCTTCCATCCATTCATCCATCCATTAGCTGTACCACATATCCTTTGAGGGTCGTTTGGGGGGGTGGGTGGGTGGGGGGGTGGGGTTGCCAAAGAGCACTATCAAGGTTTTTTTTTTTTGTCAGTACAAATATATGTTATAAAATTATGTGTTACATGATAATATCTTTTTCGACCCCCAGTATCAATGAGGGTCACTTGCAGTATATTTAGTTTTAATTTAATCCTTATTGACATTGTTGGCTCTGTTGTTGTTTCAGTCCCGCTGTGTTCTCTTTACAGTTTTATTCAGTTTTTAACTTTTGTAATCATGCCTTACACAAAAGGAACCAAAAGTACAAACACATTGTCTGCTTTACACTCTGTTTTAAATACTACAACACTACAACAATTGACAACAAATACTACAAAAACTCTCACTACTCACTCTTTCCTACATTACCCACTTTGTTCAAGAATTAAATCTTGCAATCAATGGGAAAACACAAACTGCAAAACACACCGGAATAGGGCACCACACACACGCATGCGCACACACACACACACACACACAGCCAACACACACACACACACACACACACACACACACACACACACACTGAAAACACTTGAAACTGAACACCAATCAGTCTGATCCTCAGCACTACATATAGACCTAAATGGTAAGCTTTTGTGAGAACTTTGCAAACATGGGAGCAGTGAGAGGGAGAGGAAGGGCAAAGGCAAGAACAAAGAAGACCTTGCAATAGACGGACACATATTTCAGATGACATTAGGGACACTCTGGTGGACCGTGTCATAAATCATTGCCTGACACTGAGGGAGGCTGAGCAGATTATTTCAAAAGTTAAAAACTGTATAAAATTGTAAAGAAAACAGAGTGGACCTGAAACAACAACAGAGCCAACATTGTCAGTAAGGATTACATTACAGTTTTTCACTTTTGCAAAAACACAGTTCCTGAAACTAGGGCCCCGTTTGTCAAGGCTCCATACACACAAACCAAAACCATATACACAAAATACAAAACATCTTACATCTCTTGCAAAAGCAAGCACTACATCAAAAACTAAATAAAATCTTCTAAAAACAATACTTCAGCTTCCAAACTTTACACACAAACACCAAATATATACTACATCTTTCCACGCCAACTGCACACAACTGTGCTAAATATGTAATATTTCTACTTTTCTAATGATATATGCTGAGTATAAAAACATTATTACTGTATGTTTTTTGACATTTCTCATTTGTAGCACGCTGTAAATATGAACACAAATGCAATGGGGAAACAAAATCTCTTTATTCTCAATAGTGAACTGAAGATGACATGAACATACTGTACTGTAAAATACAGTGGGCCTATACAGTTTTGCAATTACTGTCTATCCTGTCTCTGATGTCATCTGTAAGAATTGTCCTATTTCCTCTGACCCGTCTTCTCACCACTCTCTGTCCTCTTTCTCTTCTTGCTCCTTCTCCTCCTCCTATTTCTCCTCTTGCTCTTCCTCATCTAACTAGAACACCTCTTCCTCTAATTCTTTCTCCAAAATTGTCCTCCATTGTTTTGCACACCAAAGAGCAAACCTGACTCATATTTATGGTGATCACGCTCTGATTTCGGTGTGAGCTGATTGTTTACATGTGTCTTCACGTGTGCATTCTGAGTTAAGGCAAAACACTGCGTGTATGAAAAGTGCTGTACAAATAAAGTTTGACTGACAGCCCAACCTCAGTTGCTACACGGTACCATCCATATTACGGACATTTAGACTGGAGAACAGGTATGGCTTCAACTTTCTACTAGACTGTATCTTTGTAGTTGCTGTACATCCTTCTGGATCAATACAATGTAGTCAAACTATATTAGGCCTGTGCCTTTGCTGTGAAGTACAGTACATGCAATACAGTTTCTATGTGACTGTGTAAAGTACAGACAGTAAAGTGTGTAAAAAAAAAAGGACCTAACCAATGACATCATGTTCTTGCATTTTCAACAGAACTGCCAGATGACCTCTTCAGGGTGGAAGCCAACATCTGTTCACCCGTGAAAAGGAACTGGCCATTGCTAATCTAGTGCTGGCAAACAGCACCATCCACTTACATCAACTATGAAAGCAAATCATCACAGATCAAACAATATCCCATAATACCAATAGTATCAGAACACTGACACTGCATCTTGTGTCAACACCAATACAATAAATACGCCACTACACCAATACAATGAAGGAGCTGTACAGGGTTCCACATTGTTAGAGCCAAAGACCTTTGCGATAATGACAGTAGATTGTGGGGTGTTGCCAATGGATACCATCAGACAAAGCAATATGTGACCAAGGCACTAGTGCCCCCATTCTGGGGATGTTGTCTGTGGGGGCATCTGCCAAACTGAGCCAACCCACCCCCGGCCTCATCCTTGTGTGAAAATGTAGACAATGTAATCCTTACACCACAGTTACTTTACACCATATTCACCATATGCAGCTGCACAGCCTCCTGAGTCTGTTTTCATTGATGAGGCAGGCTTCAGTCTGGGGAAAACCAGGTGTTGGGGCCGAAATATTATATGACAAAGAGCCATTGTAAATGTCCCTGGGCAGCACGGGGAAAATATCACCTTGTGTGTCATCTGCAAGGAGTCCTCCATCGCCATGCCGCCCTAGGGACCTACAATACAGCACGTATTATCGCATTTCTTGATGCACTACATAATGTCGTTATATAGGATGGACCAGAACAGCGCAGGTTTGTTGTTGTCTGGGACTGCTTCACCAACCAAGATAGACAACAAACCAAAACGAGTGTAAATGGTTTCATTATTTCAGTGCTCTATCAGTAATTCTTGCGCAACCAATCTTCAACCTGGAGCTCATTGATTACTGTGCTGTGCAAAAAACTGCTTGGAAAAGAAGTTGACAGCTAGATGTATTTATAACAACCCCAGCATTAGCAGCAGCACCCCTTAAGCATTCAGTATAGACAATTCTCATGAGAGAATGTCACTCTGGGATTTTACACTCTTTTTAGCAGTCTTGGACAGAACTTGGATCCCAAACTAGACCCTGAAAGCAGAACCGTCAGAACTATCAAATCGCCCAAATAGGAAGCTTGCCAACAAGAGAGAGGCAGTCAGACCAGAAAAAAAAATCCAGAGGACTAAGATAGACAGGAAACAGGTCATAAACACTAACTGGAACACTTTGGTAACATGTACTGTCTGGCAGATAATAACTGTTATCTGCCCTCTATATATACACCGATGTTGAATGACGCGTGTCTGGGAGGACAGGTTCAAGTACGAAGCAGGAGCAGGAAAACTCCGCAGTGGCGGTTGTTGGACAGGTGATGAATGCTGCTAGAACTTACTCTGAAGTGACTGGAGATGCTGTTACGCAGATTAATCAGATAAAACCAGTGGCAAGAGGGAGGAGATAAGGACAGAGGAACTGTCACCATGACACACCACCTTGAAGGACGTAACCCATCATTCACACTTAATATCTTTATACAGCTTGGTGTACAGCCAGGTTGCATGAAATCAGCATAAATATGTCATCACTGTGTATAAAATCTGTCATTTAACAACACATCGCTATGCCCAAATTATGTGTCTAAGGTCATGGCTATAAAAAATTGAATATCATTCAATTTAATGGAACCAAAGAGAGGCGGCATATAGTTCTTTTCAACTTGAACTGTGTAATTGGAACGTGATAGCAGGGTTTAGGGCATGAGAGCTCACTTTTACAGTCAGTTTTTAGGGAATGACGTGATCCAAGGCTAAACTCAGCTTCTATTCACAAAGTTGTTCAATGAAAGCCTGATTGGCGGTGTTTGTACTCAAAAAACCGGGCAGAGAAATGGACTTTGAGAAATCTGTTTAATGCAGTCTCTCTGGGGTTTGCACTTTACTTTAATTGAATGTCTCAGCGCCATCACAATGACTGGGGTTGAGTCACACAGTAATCTTTAGAAGAACACGCAAGACAAAGGCAAATTGTTATTTTACAGTGGAAATCAAACAGATTCAACAGAATATATCTTACAGGAAAGTGGGCTGTAATGATAACGCTCCCCTGTGACATTTATAGATCAAAGAAAATTGCAAGCATTTATCCTTGTGCGGCCTTTGAGCAGGACACTATTATTCAAAAATTTATATAATTCCATATTTTGGGACGAATGTGTTATTTAACACCACATTTTGGGATTTAGTGGTGGTTTATTAAAATCATAGTGTATTAAAGCTGTAATGTGTGTTTTTTTTATTTGCACTGCTTTTTAAGAATGACAATTTTTGATTTTATTTTTTTACAGTGGCCCTGAGAGCTCAACGCACTGCAACTTAACAAAACAGAAAACATCTTCAATTTGACAACATATGCACTGCAAATACATACAACACAGGGCAAAAGTAAATGCTGAACATAATGTATTAGTAGCCCAGGTAGAGAACAGTCATAAAGAGTAGTGTAATACACAATCTGAAATTCTGTAATTACAGTACAGTTACTGATCTCTGTTAACTTGGTGGCTTGTTTGCTGTCTCACTGGTGGGTGGTTTCTGTGACCAAAGACTCCTTCGTTGTTGTCAATCTCTGTCACCCCATCGATATGTGTTTACCCCAACCTGCATCCAACCTTATCCCTAACCCCGGCTAGTCGTCTTCTGAGATTCTTAAACTGATCTCACCCTAACCCCAACCATTTATCACAAACCCATGACCTTACCTAACCCAAGAAGGCGGTGTTACAGAGAAACAGGGGAAACGGTGGACACTGTTGTTTCACTGCTGCTCCTTCTGGAGAGCTGTGTGCAGTCACCGAGGGCTGCTTGTCAAACCACAATGTCTCTTCTTCTGCCTTTCTATTTCAATAAGAGTTGAATACAAAAGATGCAACATGTAGTTGTGGAAGATTTGGGAGAGTTTAAAGGCACCTTTAACAGACCTGGGCTGAGTAGTAAGTAAGTAAGTGAATAAAGTCATGTAACTTATTTTTGCTGCCGAGTAATTAGTAAAGCATTACTTTTTCAATGAGTAATGTGTAATAAGAGATTGAAATCCAGATTCAAACAAAGGCCAATTTATGGTTAAAGTCGTCATGCCGCTGGTCATACCAGACCAAATGAGGCTGTAGCAGCAGAACCCCTGAGTGTAATTAATTATGCAAGGCTGTGTGTTATTGCAATTGAACTTTTTTTTATTTGTAGGAGGAATAATGTGTAATTCCTTTTGTCAAAAGAGACACAGTCTTGCTTTAAGACACAATTGCCAAAAAGACTGAAGCACTGTTATCACATTTATTTCCTAAATTGCAATAACAAGGTATTGTATAATGATTTACATAATGTGTATTTTGTTTTTGTGTTTCCTCTATAGGCTATCAAATATAAATAGATTTAAAACGTCCCTCTATAAGTCATCATATCATTACTGTCCATATATGGTCTACACACACACACTCACACACGCTCACACACTACGCTCAGACACAAGGAGCAACAGCTGCAGCAGCGACAGCAGCAGGTTTTGCTGGATGAAGGAAGCAGAGCGGCACTTGTGGGTGAACGAGAAGGTTTCAGCTTTAAACCTCCAGTGTTTTTTTTTTTTGTTTGTTTGTTTTGTTTTACTTCTGCGTGCGAATAAGTTCGTCTGAGGTTTGAAGACACGTATCAGGATGGCAGCAGCTTCGACAGATTCGGGGCAGGGGACCGCTAAAATAACTCCTGAAGTGCTTCAGGAGATGCTCCAGCTCTACAACCTGAGCCGCCAGGAGTTCATCAACACTTACAACATCCAGCCGCTCGTCTACATCCCCGAGTTGCCGTACAGCGCTAAGACCACCTTCGTGATCATGTACGTGGTTATTTTCGTCCTGGCTCTGGCTGGAAATAGTTTGGTCATCTACATAGTTGTGAAGAAACGGGCGATACAAACGGCGACAGATATTTTTATTTGCTCTCTGGCGGTCAGCGACCTGCTCATCACTTTCTTCTGCATACCTTTTACTTTGCTGCAGAACATCTCTTCTGAATGGTTCGGGGGTGAGTTTGAAACCTGAAAACTTACATTTCCTACTTTTTAAGACCATCTCAGGAATAACAATCATCATCGACATGAAGAAGGATTCGAATTTAGAAAAATTAAGGCAACTGCTGATAGAAGTAAGAACAGGATCTGGAAAGTCTAATAGTTGCATTAATTGCACAGCGCATCAGTTTAACTGAGCAAATAATTTAAATAATAATGATGCAGGCTATGAAATTAAAGAAGTCCGTCATTTACTCATAGTAAGCAATGGAAGCCAATAAACGCCAAACAAACAAAGCAGTGAAGACAATTAAACCCAGCTAATTATGTCAACCAGAGTGCAAGCACAGCATTGATCCCTTCAAGGAATGATCTTTCAAGGAGACCCCAGGTAGCTGCAGCAGGTGGTAATACCTTCAAATAAATGACAGATTGAGCACAGGGGGTACAGGAAAGAAAGAAAGAAAAGCAGAGCATTTCTGTGTCAGGAGAGGAACAAAGTGAGCTGCCCCTGGTTCTAACCTGCCAGCTGTTCATACTGTAAAACTGTAAGACTCCATACTGTAAGACTGGACTCTGAGGTGAGGAAAGGAGGTGGGGTGTAAAATATATATCCACAGGACAAAGATTAGTAAATCTATTGATGAGCAGATTTTTTTAGCTTTTGCAATAGCCAGCACAAACTTTAAATAATGGAGTGGTTGCTGAGTTTGTGATTCTTATGTCTGACTTTGCCGAGGGTGGAGACTATATATTGCAATAAAATGCAATTATAACCTAATGCAATTCTATGCAGTACTCCTGCAAAAACCTGCAAGTCAGGGGTGTTGATTAAACTCTCTGTGCCTCTTATTTGAGGTGCTGGTATCTCACTGTATAATGCATTGTTACTGTTGTGTATTATTGAATTTCATAAAATTTTAAAGGACACCTGATAATGTACAACCACTCTATGAGAACATAAAAGGCACTGAGAGTCAACAGAAACTGGGCATTATTTGCTCTACACGTGGAATATAATTGTATGGCTATTAAAGTCATTATATTCATCAGTTTGCAAAATTGTGTTCACACCTGATACCAATAAGGGCACTTCATAGAAGTGTAGCTGATGGCTGACAGTCAGTGTATCATAGCAATAGAAGTCCAGCTTGAAGCATGTGCTCCCATTAAAATACGGTCATAATTAGTTCATGGTGAATCAGGGTCAACCTGGCATGTGGGTCTTACCTACAGTGCACATTTTCACCTGGGTTTCAGCTCTGTGCTTCATTAGCTGTGAAATATGTGTGATCACTGCGTTCAAGTATAATCAGAGATGGTCGTGTTGTCACTTCAATTAAACCCTGCAGGGGAATGAAAAGGATGAGGAAGAGCTTGCCTCCCTTTCCAGTCTCTGACCAAACAATAGGAGTGATGTGAACTTTAATAAATATGTATGTTTTCTGCTGTATCTCAGTACCTCACTGTTTCATCCTTCTGTTTATCCCTGCAGGGGTTCTGGTTTGCAAGACAGTTCCTTTTGTACAGACTACAGCCATAGTGACAGGCATCCTCACAATGACCTGCATTGCCATTGAGAGGTACCAGGGGATTGTCTTTCCCCTGAAAATGAGGAGACAATACTCGTCCAAAAGAGCATACAAGATGCTAGGTATTCCATGTTTGCAAGAGTGGCTCATTATGTAAGAGTGTATGTGTTTGTGTGATCAAGGAAACCTTTGTTCTGTGAACAAGTTAAAGGCTGCACTGATTCATAAAAAGTAACATTTCTAACAGTTACACCACATTTCAGGGTGAGATCCTTTGCAAGCCTCTGTGACCTATAGTTACCCGTAACATCCTTCTACGGCAGCTCACAGTGCCCAAAATTTCTAACTCCAGCTCAAAGTGTCCAAAACTAACTGGTTGTTCCTACTTCCTGAGACATTAAAGGATCTATCTGTAAATTTTGCTATTGCTACTTAGCCAATGTTAGCACTTACAGCTATTTACTTATCAGTCTAGAAGAAATGTTCCGAGTTCAGCATCAAACTAATTCCTTTACTCACCATGAGCTGTCTCCAGTGGTGTAACGCAACTGCAATGTTAACTCTTGTTTCTATCACATCTTTTCTTCCTCTGAAGTTAGCATGCTAACCAGTTATCCCTGTCCCATCCTGTCCCGTCACTTTCCGATAGCGACTCACTGCCGCCTCAAATCTGCCCTGAAGATTATAAAGACAACGATGGCCAAAGCTATGCTCCCAGAAAGAAACCACGTTCAGCGGCAGAGAGAACTTAACAAATAAAAGAAAATAAAGTCAGTAGCAGACAACAAATGACAACAATGACAGAAAGTTTTGAACTGAAAGTCATCTGTGATGGCTCCGCGACAACCCTCTCTGCTGCGACTGCAACATATACAATCTAATAACCTCCATAAATCTAACCACATGTAGTTATGTTTATATAGTGCAGAAGTAGAAATTCTAAATTCCCTAGTTTAAGAAGGAACATATTCTTTTGTCTATGGAGTCCCTGATCTGCCACTATAGTGGATATACTGTATCACAAGCCTTAAAGGTCAGCTGACTCATGTAGCAGCAGGTACTTATTAGATAGATAGATAGATAGCACAGACCAAGCCTTTTTGACCAGTTTTTCCAGTCTCTTTGTGTTCATGTCGGACATGCTGCTGACCTGAGCTCCCTGAGGAAAAAGAGCCGGCTCTGCCCCTTCCGGTAGATGGCATCTGTGTTCAGGGACCAATCCAGTTTACTGTCCAGGTGCACACCTAGGTATTTATAAGTGTGCACCCACCTCAATGTCCTTCCCTTGAATGTTGACTGGCTGAAGGGTGGGCCTAGACTTCTGAAAGTCAATGACCATCTCCTTGGTCTTGGAGGTGTTCAGAAGGAGGCAGTTCTTGTCACTCCATTCACTGAAGGCCATCATCAGATCCCTGTACTCCTCTTCCTGCCTGTTCCTGATATACGCCACAATAGCTGTGTCATCTGAGTATTTCTGGATATGGCAGGACTCAGAGTTGTATTTAAAGTCCGCCGTATACAGGGTGAACAGGAATGGAGCTAGAACAGTCACCCGTGCTGCTCATCACTGTCCCTGAGACACAGTTACCCAGCTTGACCTACTGTGGTCGTCTTGTCAGGTAATCCACAATCCAGGATGTGAAGCAGGGATCCACCCCCATGCATGTTTAACCTCTAGTGCATGTTTAACCTGTGGCCTCAAAAGGTGGAGAAGAAGCTGCTCCAGGGTCTTCATGATGTGTGATGTGAGGGCCACCAGACTGTAGTAATTTATCTCAGCCGGTCGCCCTACTTTAGGTACCGGAAAAAGACATGATGTTTTCCACAGGACAGGGACCCTCCCTGTTTGTAGACTTAAATTGGAGATCCTCAAGAGAGGCTCAGCCAGCTGGGCTGCACAGTCCTTTAACAGCCTCGGGCACCCACCATCCGGGCCCGTTGCTTTTCCATGATGTAGCCACTTGAGGTCCACCTTCACCTCCTCCGCTTTAAAGGACAGGAGACTTAACCCCAGTGTGGAGGGAGTTGCAGCTGCAGTGTCAGGTTGTGGAGGAGATGTTGTAGGAGAAGCTGCAGCTGAAGCAGTGGGACAGAGAACAGGTGAGGCTGCGTCAAATCTGTTGTAAAACAGGTGTAACTCATTGGCCTTGTCCACATCACCTGGTGTTGCCTGGCTGGCTGAGATGGTCAGTGATGGTCCTCATCCCCTTCCACACCTCTCTGGTGTTGTTGTGCTGCAGCTTGAATCTCCTCTTCAGCTCATCTAGCACAAACCTGAGCTTCTTTCCCTGTCTACACCCCTGAAGGCCTCCTTTTTCTGGTTGAGGAGGGTCTTGATGTTACTGGTGATCGAGGGTTAGTTGTTTGGAAAGCAGTGTATAGTCCTTGCTTGTATTACAGTGTCCATCCAGAAATGAATGTAGTCCGTGGTACATTCAACCATTCTATCAAGGTCAGGGTCCTTGCTTTTATCATTTTCCTGAGACTTTAACAGTACATTCCAATCTGTGCACTCAAAACAATCCTTTAGAGACTCACTGGCCTCCGGGGTCCAGTTCCTGAATGAGCAGGTGGTTGCAGCCTGCCTTAGTACACAGGGCTTGTAGGAAGGCTGAAGAAAAACCAGATTATGATCTGATCTGCCAAGTGGTGGTAGAGCTGAAGCTGTGTAGGCCTCCTTGACATTTGCATACAACAGATCACGTGTCTTATTTTCCCTTGTGGGACATTGAACATACTGAGTGAAGCCAGTCAGGTGAGAGGTGAGATTGACATGGTTAAAATCCCCCCAATATTGCAATGACTGCATCAGGGTGCAGGGTCTGTACTCTCACAACAGTCTCGTGAATTACGTCACATGCGACTGCAGACTCTGCTAAGTAGATACACTGTCATCAACATATATGTTGGCAGATATGCAAAAAGAAGTGGCAGCACATACAGTAAATATTGCACAGGCTACAATATATTTATACAATACATGAAGTGCTACTGTTGTTTTGAATCTATAACATCATTATTGGTCTTAAAACTTCTTTCAAGCTCTACTTAAATATGAGTAAAATAAAACCAAATTGTCTGTTTGAAAAATATAAGCTCCTAAATCATTGTTCCTTCATCTGAGATGGTGAGTTAAAACATTTATGTATGTGTATTTGGTAAGTGAAAAGGTTAGTTAGTGCTGATATATCAGGTAAGAAAAGACCAAAGCACTGAAATTAAGTTTAATTACATGAATAAACTTTGAGAAGTGTGGCATGCTGTGGTAAATCAGAGCATTGTGGTCTCACACTGTCGAAGCTGAAATCAAAGAAATGTACTGGTGACTTGGCAGGTGCTGTATTTATCAAACTGTATACCGTGTATTAATAAGAGTTTTATTTTCAGACTGTATCTGTTTGTATAACACACCTCTCTGCATCCTGCAGGGCTTGTATGGATTGCCTCAGTGATTGTGGGTTCACCAATGCTGTTTGTGCAACAGTTACAGGTAAGTGGTGCTTTTCAAAGCAACCCATCACAAAATTAATTTCAATAGCTTCCTTCAGCTGTCACTGCAAAAGCAAAAATCACACTCCTGTTGTGCAAGTCAATATTAGAAAAGCGATTCAGCTCAGAAGAGCGGAGAACTGTAAATATCGAGAGTGATTACCATAGACGACTGCATCTTAAAGCACTTAAGGAAAATAAATCCGTATTTTGACATATAGTATTTATGAAAACAGGGGAATTCACAGATTGGATGAAACAGAGTGATGCAGAGAGTAATGTTCCCATCCATCTACACAGATACCTTGATACCTGGTAGCAATTCCAGTGGACACAAGTTCAGGAAGGCTGTTCAGCATCCTATTTTTTACTTTCAGTCCTCCAACCCTGTCCTAAAATGCACCTTAAACTTCCACAGTTTCTGGATGTCATGGACTACACATACTGTAACTAGTGAAAAGAAGAGACTCTCGCACTGAGTGGCTGACAACTGCTTAGTAGCCTACCTCACCAGCTAATTTGCATTCTGTATACACTACAGTCGAGCAAAATGCTGTCAATAATGTATAGTGTCACAAAACACTGGTATAGTCAATGCCATTCTTTTTGAATTGATAAGCAGTGAATAAGGCATTGGTGCACTGCAATAAGGCTTAGTTTTGGGGATACAGAATAAACCAGGTGATGTCAAAGGAGCACAGTAACAGGAACAAGTGGTAACTTTCAAGGCACAGAACTTTTGTTCAGTCGTAATTTCTGAACACCTCACCACCTGAATCAAAAACACAATCAGAAATTAAGGTTTTTAATACACAAGTGAAACAGTTGCTCAATTGGCAACATACTAGCAACTACTGGTTGGTTGTGGATGCAAGTAGAGGGGACAGCATGACCCTCCCATGTGTTATGTCCTCCCCGAGGTAATACACGAGTTAGCACTGACAAGGACTGTAGCCCAGGCTGTGCATGGTTATAAAATATGCAAAAATAAATTTTTCAAAAAAGAGCAGTCTAAGACTCAGAGCTACTTTATCTGCCTTGAATGGTCTTCAAGGACTAAAGCTTTTTCTTCCCGCCTCTCCCAGGTGAAGTACGACTTCTTGTACGATCATTACCACGTTTGCTGTCAGGAGAGTTGGCGCTCTCTGACTCACAGGCAGGTGTACACCACCTTCATCATGGTGGCCCTTTTCCTGCTCCCTTTGGCAGCCATGCTGTTCCTCTACACGCGTATTGGCATCGAGTTGTGGATCCGCAAGAGGGTGGGCGACTCCTCAGTCCTCAACACCATGAACCACAGGGAGATCAGTAAGATCTCAAGGTAAGTTAGACAGCAGAGTACTAGCAGTACTTGTTCAACGTTTATTTGCTTTAACTGTTCAAGGTAAGACAACTAAAAAGTTAAGTGCAGGTCCTCTGACCCTTGTGTGTAGGTACCCTGAATTACCAGTCGGAGTTGCAACAACAAAAAGCATGATCCCTCACTGGTTTGCCACCGACAGCCACTGCTGTTCAATGCACAACCAAGTCAAAAATACCAGTGGCAGGAATTTCAGAGATATTTTATCTATACGACCAAAAGATGTGTTGGTTAGAAAACATATTTAAGTGGTAACAATGCACAAATGTAAAATGTGTATAAGCTTAAACGTTTAATTGTTGCCTACCCGTGTTTATATTTAGTAATAAGGCAAGAGGTAAGAAAAAGGAGGTTATGGTTAGGGTAGGGAAAAATCTTTGCCTTTACGGTTAAACTCAAACATAGACAGCTTGGACACCTATCCATCCAGTTTGACCTTGTGTTTGCTACATTTTTACTTTGCTACTGAATGTAAACATCTGTAGTTTTAGGCTGTTGAAGGTCAGAACTGGAGTTTTTCTGGAGCGGACAGGTGACAGACAGATGTCACCACGTTGATGTCGGTCACTAAAGGGCGACATAAATTGGAAGTGTCTAGATGCTTTTCAGAAAAGCTGTAATTTCATCACAGGCACGTCTAATGACAGCAGTCCCTGCAGTGCAGCCAGCGTGTATTGTACTTATTGTATGTACTGTATTGTCACATTCATCTGCTTTAAAACAAACACACAACATGATTTAGTGACATCACAACTACTTTCAAAGCCAATCACAGTTCAATATGCAACGTACCGAAGTGTGATGTAGAAACTGGAAGACATATTGTGTGTAGAAGTTAAACTTAACATGTTCATAGATTATGTATTTTTCAATGACGAAGGAGTAAATGTGATTTTAAGAATTTCCAATTTGGTAATTCAACTCTTTTGTGGAAAACCAACATTTTATTATTATTCAAAGCACAGTGTTTTTTATGTCATTAAACTGCTCTATGGTGGCATTTAAGGCAACACAAAGTTGCTTCACAGTAAAAGCCTTCAAGGAGCTGTTGTGTTTGCATTAACACAATGTTAAATTGCCCAGTAATGTAGTCTGGTAACTTGGTGCTTGGTTGAGATATAGTAGGGGAAACAAGGCGGAGAATCACAAATGGTTTGTTGTTTCTTTGTCGGAAACAACAAGCAGAGTGGGAATTGGATTTGATAAGCTCAACAATAACCAACGCTTGTCACCAAGAACATAAAAATGAGTTGTTTCGAGCTGTCTAGAAAAAAAAAAAAAACAATGTTTAATTTTTTTCTGCCGTTGACACACATATTAGAGGAAACACATGGCTGTTTTCTCACTCCCCAGGCCAACAGTGGGACTCAGAACAGGAGTACATGGGTACTGGCCTCTCCAAATTGGGTAAAACAAGGGAAAATTGGTTGCAGTCCATTCAGGTGTGTGATTGCCAGAGTCATATTTTTCCTACTGACTCACAGCTGTAGCTCATTGGCATACTTTAATGAAAGAATGCCATCGTTAGTGTTGCTAGTTATATCTGTTCTTTTCCTGCTGTAACAAGTAACCATGTCTGCAGTAGAAAAGACACAGATCTGTTTTCTTTACTTTTTCTTTTGACCTTCCACAGGAAAAAGAAAAGAGCCGTTAAAATGATGATCACCATCGTTCTGTTATTCACCATCTGCTGGGCACCATTCCACACAGTCCATATGCTGTTTGAGTACTGTAAGTATTGCAGGAGTCCATATGAATTTTAATGGGAAATGGAAATAGCTCAAGTCTTTGTGTAGTTCATCGGTTTCACTATGACCCTCTGTCTGTGTGTAATTGTCCAGATGACCTGGAAAACAAATATGACGGAGTCACGGTAAACATGATCATCGCCATCGTTCAGGCCATCGGGTTCTTCAACAGCTTCAACAATCCCATAGTGTATGCCTTCATGAACGAGAACTTCAAGAAGAGCTGCGTCTCCACCCTTTCCCACTGCATCAGAAAACCGAACCAGCAGGGCGGTGCTGCGGTGGCGCCCAAACTGAGCGTGCAGTTCATCAAACCCCAAAGCAGAGAAGCCTTCCTGGACGCAGATGAAGGCAATAGCTCGAAGCAACACTCAGCAGAGAAAGGCCCTTCAAGTTCGTCGCATGGAGAAAGCTCCCTGGAAATAATAGGAGAAAAAATCTCCACCATCCAAACAGAGCTCGCTGCAAACAGCTCCACGCAAGTCAAATGAGGAGGAAGTGGCTCATAGTTCAAGGTGTTTAGCTGTTGGACTCGACCCTCCTGTTTGCTGTCAGTCACTGGCAAATGACAGTAAAAGCTGTAGGTGTATCCGATGTGAAATTTTGTGTCTCACAGTTGCGGTTCAAACAAAAAACCAACAGCTTGAAAACATATCTGCAGTGCCAGAGAGTGTTTTTCTTTTCATCCTGGTCAGGAGTACAGCAGGGAAGGAAACGAAGGAATTCCAAAAAAAGAGGCAGTTTTCCTGTGAAGACTGCAATGGGTGCTATCAGGACACAGCGGTCAGCAGTGATACACCACCTCTGGATCGAGAAATCGTTTCCGTTGACATGTCTTTGACATCTGCAGGTTGCTCAGCCTCCCTCAGGGAGCAGTTAATGATGATGTCAGAGGGAAACGTTACACTGCGGTATTATGGTGGGAACTGCTTGGATATGACAACAAAGAGGACATTAGACATTACACAGCCACGCCTTTAGCAGCAAAAGACAAGCAAATGTCAGCTATACAGCATGGAACTCAGTTCAGGCTAATTCAATCATTTTTTTCTTTTTTTTTTTATTACTTCTGAAATCCTTTGGAGATCAGACATCACCTCTTTGTAAAACTCCAATCTGATAATGACGCAAACCCTCGTTGTTAGGAGAGCAAATCCTGCTTTGCACTTTTCTTTCTTTTTCTTTCAGTTTTATTATTTCATGTAATGTGTGGAAAACTATTTTAACTTTATACTGCCAAACCGAGTAGTTAGATCAACAGACAGCCATGCAAGCACAGCCCTTTAACTGTTTTTTTTTTTTTTTTTTAAGGGACAGGCTGAAATAGAGGACTACATGCCTCAATCTTTGAAACAGAGTTAAATGTTCAGCCTTTTTTTTTTAGACCAAACCCAATCACATACAAAACACGTCATTCATTATTTTGATGCTAGAGTGAATCAGATTCACTCCCCTGTACCCTAAATTAGTGAAGCTTTTTGATGTTAGATATGAGACACGGTTTAACATGACTCTGGTTTATACATTCATTTAGTCATGACAAGATGAATCAAAGCCACTTTTAGAGAATTTGTAGGTCTGAACCTTTAAATGCAGCCCCAGCACAACACCAGCACACACACACACACACACACACACACACACACACACACACACACACACACACACACACACACACACACACACACACACACACACACGACAAAAATTGGTTTTACAACTAATGTGTTTGCTTAATGTTGCTGTGGGATATTTCTGTAATGTTGATGTCTAAATGCAGCTTAAGTGAATGTTATCATCTCTTTGGTGTATATTTAATGTCAGTTCTGTAATGATATGTTCGGTACCAACAGCTTGGCTTTTATTCACAGTTCTGTGCAGACTTTGAAGATGTTGCATTGAAAATGAAATTGTCATTAATTTAAAAAACTTTTTTTTTTTTTTTTAATGCAGCTCTATTCTCTGCTTGTGTCACACAAGTATTATCCTTTAACGACTGTGTCAGTGGCATTTCTTAGAGATTCTTTCTCACATGCAAAAACAGGATTTTGTTGCCAATGTGGTCACAATCTTTTTTTATTTTAAATTTTACATCAAATAAAAAGATCTATTACAACTTGGTTCTTTTATAGTTTAATAAGAAAATGTTAGCTTGTAGTAAATTCCAACATCTGGCTGCCACATCGGCTGTGGGACATGAGACCTATTTAAGAACAGATAACAGTGGTTTGGCAAAACTGCTAATGCACTATTCCAATTACTCAGCAGAAAATGTACCGAAAATGTACCAAAACTGCCACAAAACGTTCACGTTGCAGAGAGATGCACTGGGTAAGAGCTGTGTCAGTGTCTATGAGGTTAATCAATTAAACAACAAACGCTGTCAGACAAATCAAATGTCTGCAGCTACTAAACACACAAGAGTTAACCAGTACTACATGTATGACAGTATGATCTTAAAGGGATACTGCATCTAAAATCTTTTCAGTGTCAAATACCCCTGTTGACTTGAAATATGAAAGTTTATGACTTGCTCCTTTGTGGAAGACGGCAGTTACAATGGATTCCAGTAGTGACCCAAAAAGAAAAGAACAACACACTTTTTTCACTGCCCCAATAAAGGTGTTTATATTTAAGCTTGTAACCATCTGGGACCATCTGAATGATGAGAAATGATCGGGGAATCTGACCCATATAGCCTGCCGCAGACAACAAATGCCGGGAAGTCAAACAAATTGTCTTGAATGCTGTCTTTGGCAACGACTGTGACCCTTTCTGAGGTAAGGTTGAAAAATGAAAAACAAGACTGACGCGTTGTCCCAGTTCCATACTATACACTGATTCCAAGCAGGTTTTATATATTTTATATATTGTGTTCTGTGGCTAAATGGAGCCGAAACACACAATCGAAAAAATAAGTTAACCGTGGGTGGGTGGCAGCTCCAAAAAAATACACGCTTATTACACACAAAAATTTAATAAATCCTAGGAAAAATATTCTGATTTGCAGTACATCTTCCCATGGGGAAGTGTGTCCAAACTTTTGACTGGTGAAGTTTAAGTTGCAGTCTGACTAACATCTGATCGTATACAAAGTATGTTGATTTTGTTGTAGGCTAACTGCTAACAGAGTATGCTTTAGTGTTGAGTAGGTAGTATTGATTTGGGACACAGCTCAAATCAACAGCCACCACTCTGTAGTTAGGTGCAGTGGTGAGCTGAGCTAATAGCTAACACTAGCATGGCAACATGCTGATTAGCAGGTATGTTTACCGTGTGAATCATTTTCATTTAGCGTTAGTATGCTTAAAGTTGCTCTTAACACAAAGTACAGCTGAGGATGATGGGAATGTCAGTTTTGCAGCTCTTCAGTGAACAAATGATCAAAAGTATTGAACTGAAATTTTGACTTGATGATGCAGCTAGAGTGTCAGACACACCTTTAAGATCTGTAGCAAATTTCCATCAGTTAATTGTTGAGATATCTCACCCTGAACAACAAACGTCTCCCGGAGGCGCTAAACTTTATCCTTTAGTGGCTAAAGGATAAGTTAAAGGATCACCAAAGTCAGAGGGACTCAACATCTGGGGACCGTGGACGTCTGTACAAAATTTCATTGCAATCCATCCAATAATTGTTGGGTTTGTTGAGTACCAAAGTGGTGGAAACCACTGATCAATTAACTGCTAGCATGGCTTAAAAATATCAAGAGGTCATGTCTGACAAATTTAGAATTCTGTCTTCGGCAAAGGTTGATCCATGAAAGAAAAATGTCTTGAAACGTGATGTTACTGCTTTACAGAACTTGATTGGCCAACAGGGTGTGCTACCATAAACAATTCAGGCCTTCAATTGGTCAATCACTGTAGAATAATTATTTTCCCATGTTTTTCTTTGTCATTAATTTATTACATTATATACATTATAACATTACTATATGAATATGCTTCATACAGGATGGAACTGTGGAACATGTTTATCTTATATGAAAAAAAAATGTTTCAGAAACACTCCTGAAGTGGGTTTTGCAGCGTGAATGAAAAGTCTTTTGACAGATAGAAGCTGACGAATAGATACTAACAAAGTTTATATAATGATGCAAAACTAAGTGCCAAATCAATTCTGCTTCATGATTAAGAAGTAATGTTTCTAGAGTCTGCTGCACATGTAATTGGGTTACATTATGCATGCAAAACAATGCCAAAACTGTTCAGTGCCATGGCACTGAGGGAACATAAGATTATGTAACATCCTAATAACAGCGGAGAAACACCATTTTAGAAACAAGTAAAAAAAAAAAAAAAGAGCAAGATAAGCAGCAAAGAACAAGTCTTTAAAGCATCTAACGATTCAAAACGAAACAATAAGCAATTATACCATCTCTTACATGCTAACAAATTTGCTTTGCAGCGTCTGTGGCATCAAGAAAAAGCTCACGCCAAAAAGAAGAAGACACAATCCCACTTTCTGTAGATCCCCAAAATTGAAATGATCTGACACTTGTGCAGGCACTTCTGTATATGCTGAAGATAATCTTAAAATAGTCTCATAGCAGGCTCTGGAAAAAAAAACAAAAAAACCCTCCAAACAACTTTGCTGTTTCTCTCTTCGATGCTATGTGATCAGAGGTATATGGAAGTCTGCGCTGTCAAAGAGGAGAGGCCTTTTGACTGGAGAGGGATCCTTGTCAGCCTTGTGTAGGAGTTTAAAGAGTCCTGTTCCGATATTCATTGGAATCCCCATGATGATGCACTCAGACACCCCTGAAACAGGAACACAGGAAATGTTAAGACCCCAGTTAAGACATAAAGAGTAAAGTTCATTTTCAATACAGAGATGAAGTATCAGTTTACCGCAGACGGAGTCCTTTTGTCCGAAGTAGGCGGCATCAAAAAGATGATCAGCTGTTTTCTCGAAGGAGGCCAGCATGAGGACGCTCTCCTTCATTTTGGCTAAACCGAACCTGGTGATTCCCAGTATCTCCCCCTTTATGGACAGAAGACAGTGTGCACTCATGTGAAACACTTCTTTAAATAGACAAAAGACACACACTACGAGGACCGATCATGGTTTCATACCTTATAGGACATGAGATCTGCGAGAAGCATGACATGACGCCGGTCAATGCTCATTCCATGGTTGACCATGGTGTACTGAATCTCATTGATGATGGTGGACCTAGCAGCCTCGATACCCAAGGTCCTTTCAACCTAGAGAAATACACAGAAAAGCTTGTTTGAAGAAAGCTGAGGTTATTCTATATTCTACTGTAATAATCAAGACTGACTTGTAACTATTCAAAGTAGAGATGTGGTTAAATAAAAAAAAAATTTTCCCCATGCATACTGAGCCCCTCGCTTCCACCCGTGAAAATCAAGATTAATGTTTAACACTCAGGAGTGGATGTATTTGAAAATGCAGGCCTTACTTTGCAACAATGAAGATAAAATCGACTGTCAACCTCCACGCACATGGGTAAATACTTCTTTG